AACTATTCAATAAATGGAAAAATTGGAAATCTCAAAATATAAACTATTATTCAATTAGTATGTGTTGTTTTAGATACCAATTCATTTGCTTATAAAGATAAGTATTATCGACAAATTAAAGCGTATGATGCCTTATTTGAATTTCCGGTAGCTTGTATCATTTTTTGTTGATGGATATAGAGGAGGTATAGGAGATATTGGAGACATTGATTAATTGGTACAGATGATCATTCGATAGTATTTGAATTTAAACATCTATTCATAAAATATATTGGTGTCACTTGCCAACCCTTGCTCGAAAAACTCAATTCCAATACCTCCTATATCTTGATAAACAGGAAACTATAGAAATGTCCGGAAATTCAAATAAGGCATCTAATCAATTAAAGGTGGTGCCATGGGTTCACCATTTACTATGGTTTTAGCAAGTATTTATTTGGTAGAATGGGAGCAAAAATTAATTCAACACTAAAATAGACATCATGAAATTTATGGACGGTTAATTTTGCATTTATTAGTTACTTTTTTTTTACTCTAATAATCATAAATATTTATAGATATATTGACGACGTATTTATGACAACCAATTTATCCAAAGAAGATATACTGGAAGAACTTGATGAAACCATTAAAACAGATTCAAATGTTACAATTAGTACTACTATCAGTCAATCATTAGAATATCTTGATGTTACTATTGAAAATATTAATGGACATTTAAAAATATCTATTTATCATAAATCAGCTTCAGAACCCTATATTCTACCTTATGAATCTGATCAGCCAAGACACGTTCATGCGAATCTAATTTATATTGCATTAGTGCGAGCTGCACGTAAGTGTTCCAATGTGGAAGATTTTGATATGGACCGATTAAGTACAGAAATGATATTACTAGTTAAAGGTTATCCATCAAAATTTATACAACATCATATAAAAAAAATCTTTGTTAAATATGATTCTATGAGTGTATGGACTGAATAAAACAGTGAAGTCTATCAACAACTACATAATATGTTACTTTAAAGACCAACAAAAAGAGAAAACAAAACACAAATCTCCAGTCGTGGTCAATGAATTCGGAAAACGAAAAACTATGAACATAAAGATCAAATTTATCTTCATTACACGTTCGAAAATGGATCATTATTAAATTTCAAAAAAGAATGTCATCAAATATGGCAAAAGTTCTGTTTATCCAGAATCATATTTCAAAAATACACGACCAATTCTTGGTACAATATTAAATCGTACTTTACAAAGTCTTTTGATACGCAGATAGCTTCCACGAGATATGTTGGCCAGGATGCAACCAATCGCAGACACAGCTCGTACAACAATGAAAGAACGGTTTAATCATTAACATTTGTTTCTTTCAGGCGTCCCAATTATGAAGAGTGTTTCCTTCCTGTTTGTTCGCTTCTTTCTCAGTTTTGTTCTCAATAGAGGATATTCTGTTATTATCATTAGATCTTGTTACTAGATAAACATTGTTTTTTTCTTTCTGTTTATTTTTCTCTTAAATACGTGCAACATGTCGAATACGACCATTTATTACATTGTTCATTATTTAAGCTCAGATATTTGACCATTGAACATGTGAACCGGCACCATCTTCTAGTTCATGTTTCGTTATTTTTCCTTTTTCTTTCTTTCATTTGATATATGTTCACTTTGAAACCGGACGTAATCCATACTTTCATATATTCTAGATATAGACTAATCAACACAATATCTACAAACAATAGTCGCAAACACGTAATAGCAATATATAAGCAATCACTGTAAGCAAATCATAGTTATGACAAAACTGATGAGTGGCCCTTAAGCAAGACCGAAACGCGTCGTAAGGATGCTTGGTAATATAAAAATTCAAATTTTATAGACACCCACAATGAACCAGATTAAACAAAAGAATACCGACGCCCCATACAAACAATTTTCCCCTAATTCGCCAAGCCGCACAGGAACACGTTAACAGTCAAATATAATTTCCTCTATGTCTCGAAAAAAACTATAAAAGTTAATTGTAGATTATCTCTCGTTTCTACGATCTTAATATCACTCGAAAAGAAACTCTTGTCTAATCATATGATGAGAGCATTAAGCAAGAGCGAAACACATCATCGTGTGCTTGGCATATCCGTGCCATACATCTGGAGAGATTCTTTGCCAAATTTAGACGTATTGTCATAGCTTCACTTGATATTTCTTATCATGATGTAAAATATTTTATTTCTCAACGTATACTCACACACAAAAACAGTTAGAAGAAATATTAATAGCGCTAAGTAGAAGTTAGGAATAATGAATCAATGAAAAAAAAGCTTAAGGCAGCAGTGATAATATTAACAGGTCTGTAAAAAGATGTTTAAATTGTCAGCACCTTCGTTGGCGACGACGAAATCCAATTTTCCATCATTGTCTAAATCACCAACGGAAACGGAGAATGGAAAGGATCCATAACCGGTCGAAAAAAGCTTGACACTTGTGAAGGAGCCATTTCCATAACCAAGCAACACACCTATGTTGTTTGTGCCATAATTAGCGACAATAATGTCTAGCAAGGTGTCGTTGTTGAAATCTTCAACAGCAACCGCGTTTGGTTTAGAGCTTAAACCAGTTGTAAACGTTTTCTGGCTTGAAAACGAACCATTGCCCCGTCCAAGAAATACACCAACATTGTCACTGCCTAGATTTGCGACGACAATATCAAGTAGGGTATCGTTGTTGAAATCACCAACAGCTACCGACCACGGAGAGGAATCAGTTGCATATGCCATTTGATTTCTGAAAGAACCATTGTCGTGTCTCAGAAAAACACCAATATTGTTATTGCCTGAATTCGCCACTGCTATATCCATTTCATTGTCATTGTTAAAATCTCCAATGGCGAAGGACTTAGGGCTAGATCCATTGCCAGTTATGAGTCTCATTTGCTTAAAAAACCCTTCATTAGGATATCCCAAATATATACCGACACTTTGCCCATTAGTATTAGTGACGACGATATCTACTCGGGTGTCATTATTAAAATCGTCAACAGCTACAGATGAAGGACTAGTGCCCGTTGAATAGGTCATTTGATTTGCAAAAACACCATTACCATATCCAAGAAGGACACTCATAGTGTTGTTATTCCAATTAGTGACAACGACATCCAGTCGGTTGTCGCTGTTAAAATCACCAACAGCTAAAGCTTGCGGACCAGAGCCAGTTGAATATGTCGTTTGATTTGCAAAAGAGCCATTTCCATATCCGAGAAGTACACTTATAGTGTTGTTACCATTATTAGCAACGGCAATATCCAATAGAGTGTCGTTGTTAAAATCACCAACAGCTACAAACTTTGGCGCAGCACCAGTTGAATATGTCGTTTGATTCGCAAAAGAGCCATCACCATATCCGAGAAGGATACTTACAGTGTTGCCACCAAAATTAGCGACAACGATATCCAGATTGGTGTCGTTGTTAAAATCACCAACAGCCACAGAGTATGGTTTAGAACCAGTTGAATATGTCGTCTGATTTGCAAACGAGCCATCGGCATATCCAAGAAGGATGCTTACAGTGTTGTCACCCCAACTAGCGACGACGATATCCAGATTGGTGTCGTTGTTAAAATCACCAACAGCTACAGAAATTGGGTCAGAGCCAGTTGAATATTTTGTTTGATTTGCAAAAGAGCCATTGCCATATCCGATAAGTACACTTACAGTGTTGCCATGAAGATTAGCGACGACGATATCCAGATTGGTGTCGTTATTAAAATCGCCAACAGCTACAGACCATGGCTGAGAGCCAGTTGAGTATGTCGTTTGATTAGTGAAACAACCATTTCCATATCCGAGAAGGATACTTACAGTGTTGTCGTACTTATTAGCGATGACGATATCCAGTTGGATGTCGTTATTAAAATCGCCAAGAGCTACAGATTGAGGCCAATTGCCAGTTGAATATTTAATGTCATGACTGAAAGATCCGATGTCGTATGTAACCAGCACATCTACATAATCGTTGTCATCATATGCAACGAAAATTTCTGAACGCCCATCTTTGTTGAAA